ACTTCTGCACCATTCCATTCATAAAGATGAGTTTTCTTTTAGCAACTTACGATACATCAGTCTTTGTCAAAGCCTATTTACTATAAATTAGCTCCGGCGTATTTCTTCAGTGATTCAAGTCCTTCTTTATTACTTCTCATTACTTGGTGTTCCACCCAATTTAATCACATCTGCATGCTGGGAAATTGTCCTTAGACTCATTATTCTAGTTGTATTATGATATGCTTGATAAAGCTGAATTCTTAGCTACTTCTCTCTATTATATAAGAAAGCTTATCACTGTATATGTAAATGATGTTCTTGATGCCAGATCTAACACCATATATTTGAAATCATTATGATTTTATTTGAAATTTGTGACGGCAAGATGTTAAAAGCAGTGTCTGCAGTAGAATGCCAATAAAAGTTGCCAGGAATGTGTAAGCTGTAGTTAAGTCTTGGTCTATTTTCCCAGTTATTCTTTCAGATATTTCAAGACAGGATTGTTTTAAAACAACAGTTGGTTAGTGCCGATCTCCAAACATCTTTCCTGAAATAAAAAGTCCTTTGACTAGCGGGAATGAGATCTGGTGGCTGTAATTAGTGACAACAGCTAGTTCATATGCTGGACACTCATAGATTTTTGCAGTGTGATTTGGGGTCATTATGTACATCAGCTCGCTTATAGGTAAAATGTGCACAGAAGCACAATACCTAGAGTATTTTGTGAAAAACTCTCCACTTCCTCATATTAAAAGGAGCCAAAACTAAAAGGCTTGTAGCTGATTATTCCATATTCTTTAGAAAGTTCATGTCCAAATCTAAACTTTGTGACTGAAAACTGTTATTAAAATTGGCAGTCCATGCTTGTCATCAGGATAGCTGTTTATCACCACGCAAGAACAGGAGCTTCTTGTGATACTGCCACAATGGTTGTTCATTTGTTTTCTGTGGAGCAATAAATCTTTGTTACCAAGGGTTTTTCCTACTCAGTGTATAAAACAAAGGCTAAACTAAAAACTAGAGCTATATAAATAAATCTTCATACCAAAAGCATATCTAAGTTGAAATAGAAGATTTTATCTCTTAGTTTTCAGTCAAACAATTAACTGAGTGTGCATTTGACAAGATCTGGATAGCGACTCTAGTTTGCATGAAAGAATTTTATATTCATTCCAATTTTATGGTTTTTAGTGACTTCTAAAAGGTTTGATATTTAGACTTTTACTCAATAGCAACGATAATAGATTTAATATATTTTCACTGCAAAGCAAAGTTATTTACTCATTATAAAATTTGAGTAAGATAAACAAAGCCAAAGAAAGATGTTTTCTGAATCTGTAAAAATCATAAATTCTTTTTTTCAGATTTTAGAAAATATTTTAGTATTTCCTTGTTCCATAATGAGAAGTAGCAAGATCTTATATATAGGGCACTTAGTACAGGATTTATATATACCAGAAATAAATTAATAATCCAGTTCTTGGATTTGTTTGTTGATAATTTGGTAGCAATCAAAAAAATCAAACTGTTTATCTTAATATCTATTTGACTTTTGATCTGTATAGAAAATGACTGATGATGTATTAAACACATGGGTTTTTTCAATGGATTTTTAATCAGTATGGTAGTAGCAGAAATTAGTGGGTTGAATTCAGCGACCTTCAGTCACTATAGCATCATGTCTGAGACACAGCAATTCACTTTCCTCACAAGCATGTTTATTGTGTGTCTTCCCTTTCTTATAGTTGAAATGAACAAAGGCAATATAAAGAGCTGCAAGATACGCAGACAACTCTTTAGCTAATATTATGAACACTTCAGACATGTTTCGATATTATGAACACTTCAGACATGTTTTGAAAATGGATTCTGTTCAGTACAACCTTGCCTGTGCTTATCTCTTTCATCAAAACCTGAAAGAAATTGAAAGACAGGCTAATTAAAGAGAAACATTCAGAGACTTGGGAGTATGGATTGAAAGACTAATTACAAGTTTTCAATACTCCCCTTTGTTTCTGTTTTCCATTTGTACTTTTCCTTCAGAAAAAAAATGTCAATTTCTACTAGAATTAGCTAATAATGTTTAGTTTCTCATACTATATTATAGGGTTTTTTCCCACATCTTGATGTCTTTGGGGCTTCTACATCCTGTGAAGCAAAAAACAAAGTGAGGGAAATATGATCGTGTAAATTTGATGGAAAAGCCATGTTCCACTGTTCAGTTTTATAAATTATGCACAAATATTGACTTATGTATGTTGTAAGACCTCCTAGAAGAGGGCCCCAGCACATGCATCTGTTGAAAGAGCCTGCCAAAAAAAGTGGGTTTCAGGCTCCAACATGTAAAATATGCATATTCAATTACAAAAAAATCATGACATCATTTCAAAAAGGTTTCAGTAACTTGCTGCAGTCCCCAGGAAGCAATAACTTGCGTGCCAACAACTCATGTAAGTTTTATGCATCTCTTTAACTTGCTTAAACAACAACACCAAAAATAAATTAACATTACTGCATGGGATTTCTCGTAACATACACTGCACTGGAATTCCCTTCGAAGAATTCTCTTACATATAACAACATATATGCAAGCATCTCTCTACTTCATGTACAATTTTGAGAGGAGAGTAAGAAAGGCAACCATAAGCTCACAGGTTCAATTTTTTTTTTTTTTTGCCAGATGCTTTTCTTTTGGATGCTCTTTTGCTTCAGTGTACTTGACAATATTTTTCTCAAACTTCTTAAACAGAATGAAAACTATAACTCTGAATGTTTATGAAAAGGAATTCACATTTTGAAGCGTTACCTTTGGCATTTTCTTTCTATGCCAACACCTAAGTTATATTTCGGGATTGAGCAAATGTTTAATGTATACACATCCCTCTGAATAAGAATAGGAATTTTCCTTTCATGGCCAAACAAAATGTCTTATACACACATTTGCTTTTCTTCTCAGTTCCTCCATGCCATTCCTATGTGTGCTACAGTCCCTACGAAGTGACTAGCGATAGAATAAGAATTCTACCTCATACCTAAAATAAATATAGATAGGCTGACCTAACCACAGGCGTGCTTTTAATGAACAGAATTTTGAGCGTTTTATACAGCTGTAATCTAAGATTAGGAACATATGGTTCTGGCGGTAAATTAGCACTATGAAGATATATGGCAGTGAAAATTTCATGACATTTTCAGAACACATAAAGTACCCTGGGCTTAGATAAATTCAGACCTAACTCATTTTGAAACATGAAGGTTGTAGCCTTGTCAAAACAAGTCTGAATAATGATAACACTATAATGATTTATTGAAGTTCTTATGAGGAATAATAAGGAGAGTTTTACATTATCATCTGTGTTAGTGTTTCATCTGCATGGGGATCATAGAATTATGTTTGAGAATAATAAAGCCTCAGCAGAAAGGCCAAATGATTACTGGGATAAAAAGACAAAATCCTGTGAAACTATTTAATTTCATTTCATTAGATTTTACTTTCTGAGAATATTTATTAAGGGGACAAAAACCAATGGATTTGGAAGGCAGCTTTGTCTTCAGAGCACCATCTGCATGAATGCAGTTCTGGATCTATGGATGCAGAGCACTGCATCAACATAGGAACGATATTGCTGTGAACAATTCCACCCTGATCAAACTTAAAAGATACCTTGTGCACGTGTGCTTCAGAGAGCCTTTTTCAATTTAATTCACATTTTTCAAAGAGCTGTATTTCTAGAAACACAGAGCATATAACCCAATCCAAAACTAATTTCGGACACCCATTTCCTAAAATGAACACTTGCTGGGAAGGAGAATTCAACAACTAGCTATAAATTGAAGCTCATATATGTTTGAATGATAGCATCCATTTTGTCTTGATTTTGTTGTGCCTACATGCAAATGAATGTAGGGAGAAAGGGAACCTTTAAGGGCCCCTGTGGCTCAAAGACTTTATTATTTAATTTGGATGGGAAAAACAAAGGATAAAATGAAAAGGACCATAAACATACGGTAGGTCTCTGCTATGAATGACTGCATGAGGATATTTGTAGAAAAAGTGGATCTGTTGGCCAGACTAGGCTTTGATCAAGCAAAGAACTGTTCTGTGGGAGCTATGAAATACAAAACATTTATATTATATTTATCTTTCAAGCATTAAAAGCTTCATTTATTACTTGTTAGTAATAGTTACTTTGGAAGAGTCAAACAAGGCTTTTCCTTTCCTTTTGATAAAACTGAAAACAAAGAACAGGATCATACTAAAGGAGATGATCAAATGCAGATATTTTGTCTGTCTTCTCTTTAGCCTTGTTTAATTGAAACATTTTAATCTAAGCTTTTTCAGAAATGGCTGAAGGAATTTGTATCTGCTTTTTTAATTCTCAGCCTACCATCAGTGGAAAAAAGAATAATATTTAGACTCCCCCGTACCTGTCAATAGAATGAAATTTGATGAGCAGGAAGTGTACAGAAAATCTGAGAGAAAAAACACCCATATATGCATGGCAAATATTTCCTTTACCAAAAGACTTACTGAGTATTTTTTTTAATGAAAGCTATGATCTAAAACAAATGAAGCCAAATTAATAATGGATTATTTTATTTGTATCTGAAGAGCATTCATAAGGCAGGCTCTACTGAAAAAGACTAAATCAATTTTTATCTTAAATTTTCAGAACTACAGTATTAGCAAATAATAAATATGAAATCAGTTATTACCAAACAGATGAGAATTTTATGGAAGTACCATGATTGACCAGATAAATAGCGTTGCAACTATATGGCAATCAAATTTAGTAAGAACATTATATGCATACGTATCAATAAAACAAAAAAATTTAATATTTTGGAAATAAAGACACAAAAGATTGTGCTATTCCATTAATACCTATCAAGACTTCTGTCTTGAATGACAGTGGTACCTGAGGTTCAGTGTTAGAAAGAGATACAGGGGAAGTTGGGGAAAAGGAGAAAGTGTGAGGCAGAGGGTTAAGGTCGCTGTATATGCGAAAACAGGGGGGCCCCTGGTGGTCTAGTGGTTAGGATGTGGCGCTCACAATACCACGGTCTGGGTTCAATTCCCAGTCAGGGGACTCCTCCGGGCAGATGGAGCTCGTCAGCCCTGTGTGGCAATCCATCTAAGAGAAGGTCACTCTAAACAAACCTACGTCCTGAGGACCTCGCTGCCACTGTCCAAGCTTGCTCGGCCCCGGCAGATGAACCTCAGGATTAAAGGGTGGGCTCAGTTCAGCGCACGCTGTGTCTCACTTAAAAAATCCACTGCGCAGGCTCGAAGGGTAAAGACCTTTCCCAAATCTTCGCTCGCGAAGACTGGCCATGATATGCAAAAACAATACATTTAAAAATTGCAAGATATACTACAAATCTTCTTCCCCCATTATGATTAGGCCTGAAGAATATTACTAACTACGGAGCAAATGAGCAGCCCATCTGGATGTAATAGCAAAAATATGATGCATTATGGAAGTGTGATGCAAGCTGTAGGTACTGTAGCAATCTTTTTTTTTTTTTCTTTAGGCAGATGGCAAAAAAAAAATTCTAGTGAAATGAGCTATTAGTTCCTTTGGTACTAGACTCCAACCAAGACATAACAAGTCTGGATTCTTAATTAGATTAACCTACAGAATCCTTAGACTAATAATTACTGTTTTATTTCCATCTCTCAGAGGCAAATTACTTTCAGGAGCTTTGAAGAGTATGATCCTATTAATCCAACAGTCAGTAGCTTTTTTAATATTGAAGAAAATAAATTTCAGTTATTTTAATAACTAGTTAAGAACTGGATGGGGACATAGGTAGAGAAAACTATTCAAATTGAAAACATGTACTGCCTTTGATAAAAAGAGTATTAATAGTAGGCGTTATTACCACATGAATTTTGAAAGGACTATATGCAAGGGGTTTATTCTTAAAGTTTGATATTATGCATTCTTACTGGCTAACATTACTTTGAAAATATATAAAAAAAAGAAGCTACACTCTACAGATAAAGATAGCAGTCAATTTCAAATGTATTATAAAATTTTTGAAAAATAGCTTTTGTAAGCCTTACGAAAATTAATCCAAGTTTCATCAACCAAGGAGTCAAAATCTTGTAAGCTTAAATAAAATAGGTGAGCCTTTTTGTTCACTGAGAAGACAGCATGAGTGAAGACCTGGATCACAACAGAACCACTTAGCCCAATGCGATCATCCTGATTTCTGTTTGCTACTTTTTAAAAAAAAACTCTTAAGGTGACTCCGAATGTTTCTAGATTCTTGTACAAAGATACCTCTTTTTGGGAAGCTGTCCCAGAATTCCACACATTTATATAAAAACTTTCAAGGTCATAAGAAGTCATATTCATATTTTCTCCCTTACTATGATTATTTTTGGATAATTATATTCTGGCAGAAATTTTTACAAGGTTTAACAAGGACATTAGCCTTTTGGCGAAGAGTATGGCTCCAAGACCTGAAGATTCTGGATCCATCTGCATCAGAATCACTCAGCTGACCACTGAGAAGCATCACTGAAGGTATTAAGTAATCAGGAACTGCATCCTTCCAGAGCTTAGAAAGAAAAAAAAAGATAAAAGTAGATGTTATATAACTAGGAAGTAAGGTAAATTTATAGCTTCTCTTCTGATCTTCTTTTGCTATTATCAGGGTGACTTTCTTCAAAGGTAATTGATATTAAAATCGTACATTAGTGTAACCTCTGCTAAACACACCTTACTTTATAGCCAGTGGAATTTAATTATCAATATCAAAGCAAAAACTAAGAAATTTGGATCTATGATTGCCCAGAGAGATGGTGCACAGTGACGAATAATTACAAGATTTACTGGTGTATATATGCCTTGAATTCAAGAATGTTGAATCTGTTAGAAGTCATGCACTGATGTCCTTTTGATGCTTATTTGCACGCAGCAAGATACATGTGACTTCTACAATGGAAATAAACAGATCCCACATGGAAGTCCTTTTAGTTATTATTACTACAATTACTACAAGAGTATGAATTAATAAGAAATACTCTTTGTCTTTTCTAGGGCCAGGTATTTTGTAAGATATTTTACCCAGTGACTTGCTTTTGTATTTAAGAACAGCTGTCTGTGATTTTAAAAAATGCATTACCATGGAACTGATCTCTTTCCACTCAAGAGGATGAGAAGATATAGCAGGAAGGCATAGCCCAAAGCATCTTATTACTTTAGAAAACTAAATGAACACAAAATTCTAGATTAAATCTACTTTTTTTTTTTAAACCAAAACAGAAAGCTGAATTGCACTTCCAATTTTTTTTGCGTCATTAGCAACGGAGACAGTTTAGAAAGTGTACAAACTCCAGGTCAGGGCTGGAACTTCTACATGGTATCAGTGTTAAGTAAACTTGGAACTCATGTCCTGTGAGTTGAGAAAGATCTAGTTGCTTTTACAATATAATTTAAACAATAAAAATCTTATACCATTTACTAGGAGAAAAAGCCCTTTTGAATACCAAGAATTTGTGTTTCTAAAACATTCAAGTGTCTTTGATGACCCAACACTAGAACTACTTCAGCCTAAAGAAATATTACCTACCAGCAAGGAATTCTTTTTTTATTTCTCAGGCAGATTTGCCTTGCTGTCCAAGATTCTTCCACTCTTTATGTCTGATATACTATAGTAGTGATGTGCTATAGTATGACATACCCACTTAAAAATACAGATTTTCACTTTATTGAACAACAATAATTTCCTTTAATTAAAGATACATGCAAAGATAATTACCTGTAAAAATAAGTGAAAACCTTGCCTGCAGTTTGGAAAGAGGCATTAATAAGCACTTCTCTAGAGCCTCATAAAATGATTCTGTGATCACAAATAGAAGAAAACTTGAGTACGTTTGAATATATGATCACTGGTACTTGTGCATTGCTCCAATTCCCCTAGTACTTAATCAAGAAATATCATCAGATGAACACAAAAATACATAGTGGAAAATGGTTGTAAGAGGTTTCAACAGTTGTGCTTTCTTCATTGAACTACTCCTTGATAGAACAATATACTGCTGCCCCACTGGGTGGCCCCTATGCTATGTTTTTAATAGTTTTTATGTCTTCAAATATGATTTTTTTCAAGAAATATTTTCTTTAATTTATTTGATTAGCCAAACCAGAAGCTGAAAAGATAATATTTTTTAACTTCCTTTCTGATGAATAATAAATGTCACATAGGAATTAGAAAATAGGATGTAGTTGCATGTGCCATCTGCTGCATATGGGAACAGAAGAAAGATATTAGACTGTAAATTAGGGGTTTCTTTCATAGAAACTCAAAGATGAAAGGAAACCACACTGATCACTTGGAAAGTAATACCGCTCTCTATCAGTCATTAGAAATCTGTCATTGCTTAGAAAATCTCACAATATTGCGAGATACTCTTGAGAGCTCTCTGAGGAATATCTACAAAGTCTATTTTAAATAGAAATTAATGTCATTAATGTCATACAGTCTTCGGATTATTTACTTTAATTTCTTTTCTGTTTCTTCTAGGTGCCTAAGGCTTGCTATAGCAGGATATGTGGATACAGTTCTGGGCTGAAATACAAAACCTTGCATGCTGCATTCCCATGGTAGCTGACTATTTGCAACAGTAAGGAGGGCTACATATTTACACAAAAATTCACTTATCTAAAAAAATCCCCCAAACTATCCACATTTTACCTCTGAAGTGGAGGTGTTAGCGTGTCCATCACCTCTGTGCAAAAATTTTCATTCCATTCATCTGCTTCTGTTCCAGATCATTTATGTAATGAAAGTTGCTTCTATATGTTCCAGCTGCCCACTTTATCTCAGTTGCAATTAAAGAGTCAGATTTTGACCCAACAGTAAGTGACATGGATTAGACTTGTCTACAAGGTGGTACATCCATGACACATGATGAGGAAGGAGGTGGCTGACAGGGCTGGTGTCCTCCGGGATGTGTGAAGGTGGGTGATGGAGGTGGCCCCAGTATTCTGTGAGGTGCCCTTTGTTCATTACCTTCTCAATCCCTTCTTCTCCAAATGTCAATTTCTGTATAAGACCCAGGTGAGCTTTTCTACCTGATAGATATTCCAGGTTATGTTTCTAGCTTCTTTTTTTTCTTTTATGATAATAAAAGAAATACTAAATTTCATTACCTTTTGCTTTACCATTTATTGGTTGAATGCTATACACAAATTTTTAGTTTAAATAATTGTTATATATGGTTTTATTTAATATCAGATATTAGCATTTATAAGACCTATAAGAAAAATAGGAATGGAATAAATGGAAAGATAAGCAAGACAAGAGTGCAAGTGTTGTGAAAAAAGTAGTAGAAATCAGCTTCAGATTGGTCACATGCAATAAATAAGTTTGCTGAAAAAAAGAACTCTTACAACACAATATTTTTATATTTACTATTACTTGTAATTTTACAGGGCCCTGGAAGTGCCAACCTGGGATCGTGATATCTTTGCCAACCTGGGATTGCGATACCCTTGCTGTAGAGGTTTCATTAAAACATTCTTATAAAACATATTATAAACAGATGTGAGAATGACAAAAGGACAATATTGACAACAAATGATGGCTCAAATTGAACAAAATTTGTCAAAAGTATCTAATGAATGTGAAAGCAGTTGCTTTTATACACAGTGTTTTACAATAAGATGGTATCATCATACAACCTACCATACAGATAATATTACACATGAAAAGTTGAGAACAGGGGACAAAATGTAGAACTCTGGCACTATCCATGAAAATACTGCCAATGCTATAAACTTTCTTCTTCTTTTTTTTTTTTTTTTAATTTATTGTACATTTCTATGATTTTTTGGCTCAACACTTGGGTGACATACAGATGTCATGGGACAACTTTAGGCTGTAAGATCGATCCAGATAACTCACATTCTATCTTTCAGTTATGTCTGCATTCCTTTCTGAGATGAAACTTATGCATAGTTCTAGGGATAATTTGCTTCAGAGACCCCTCCTTGCTGATGGCATGGGTAAAAGGATGAAGCTACACCTGGCTGGGCTATTTCCAACCTTTCAGCATTGAGAGGCTATTTCAGCA